TGATTTTTAACCCGAAGAAGAGACAGCCAGGGCACAATAACTGTCATTCAATATTTAAAAGGCAAACTTACAGAAATGAAATTAATTGTATTTTTGAGGGTCCAAATGATAAACTTCCCATAAAGATTTAAAAAAAAAACACTCACAAATACATCAATTATCCCATCCATCCATCTACTGATCGATGCACCTGTTCATCCAGACATCCAGCCATTCTTTAACTTACACCGAAACTGGTTTAAAGTCATTTACAAAAAGGGCGCACAAAAAAGAACCCCAAAAAGTAAATGAAGAAACCAAGGCAAATAGGAAAAGAAGAGTTGGAAAATAAGGCTATTCCTTTGTTCTGGGCTTCTTGGCAGGAAATACAAAGAAAGAAACATCATTTAAAAGATTCTGGTTTGTAAATAAAAACTAGACCAGTTGCGTCAGAGCGCCAATCTTCCTGGCCCTGAGAGCTGGGAGACGCCTGTCCTGTGAGGCCTCAGAAAGAGCTCACTGTTAGGTCACGTCTAACACATTCCACCACCTCTCCACCAACCATGGCCCAGGGGCTCTGAAACAGGAGCGCCTCCGTACAGGCCAATGGCATCAAAGTGCAGCTCGCTACAACTTTCAAAGGGTCTGAATAAAGTAGTACAGGAACTCAATTTCTGATGCTTTGGTCTAATCCCCAAACAGTTATAGTCTAGAGCAGTGGTTCTCAACCTTTCTAATGTCGCGACCCTTTAATACAGTTCCTCATGTTGTGGTGACCCCCAACCATAAAATTATTTTCGTTGCTACTTCGTAACTGTAATTTTGCTACTGTTAATGACTCGTAATGTAAATATCTGTGTTTTCCGAGGGTCTTAAGAATTTGTGGAAGAACTGCTGCTCTACAGCAGCCGTTCTCAACCTGTGGGTCGTGACTCACAGGATGAGAACTGCTAGCAGGGTCAAGAGGAATGAGTAACTACATAACTTGTAAATTATTCTCCTAAAATGTTATTTCTCTCAGACCTTTGAAAAGCCATCTTGTTACTTATACAAATTACAAATGTATATTCAAACACAAACAGACCTTAAAGATTCCTACAAAAACAAAAAACAACAACAACAAAAAAACCCCACAGACAGAATAAATGAACCACTCAAGACTCAGGACATGATATCAATATACAATAATCAATTGCATAAAAAATAAAATATGTAGGCATAAATTTAACCAAAGAAATGAAAGACCTGTGCATTAGAAAGGGTCGGTCTTAAAAGTTTTCATCACACACAAAAAATGCTAACTATGTGTGGTGAGAGATGTTAACTGGACTTATTGTGGTGATCATTTTATAATATATACAAATATACACCTAAAACTAATTTATTGTTACTATATACGCCAATGATACCTCAATTAAAGCACTAGTATAAATTAACCCATGTTCTACACCTAAAACTAATATATTGTTACTGTATATGCCAATGATATCTCAATTAAAACAAAAACAAAAACACCTGCCCAGCTTGTGTGGTTCATGGTTGAATATCAACCTACAAACTGGGAGGTCATTGTTCAATTCCCAGTCAGGGCACATGCCTGGGATGCAGGCTTGATCCCCAATTGGAAGGGCAGCTGATCAATCATTCTCTCTCCTCATTGATGTTTCTCTCTCTCTCTCTCTCTCTCTCTCTCTCTCTCTCTCTCTCTCTCTCTCTCTCTCTCTGCCTCCCTCCCTCAAATAAATTAAAAATACATACATACATACATACATACATACATACATTCATACATACATAAATAAAGGCACCTCCCAAGCTGGATTCTGGGACCAACTTGTCAACGCTCATGATCTCACATTGACTGCTTATTAGTGCTGATTCCAGTTGAACTGCCTGACATCTCTAGGCCTCAATTTCTTCTGAGAAGGAGACTAAAAGCACTACATCAGAGGGTGAAGCTCTTAGAGCCTGGCACCCAGTGAAGGTTACATATAAGGTGGTTGGCATTGTCACTGCAAATGGATTTGGGAGCGAGGAGGGGTCAAAGCTATCTTTGAGGCCATAAAAAAAGTTTTTGCATTGAGCTTTGAGGAACTCTTACGTTCCAAAATGTGTCAGAAGCAGACCTTTAACAGTTATCAAAAGCCCTATATACATATAGCCTTGATTCAGCAGTTAAATCCCAACTAGAAATCTATCCCATGGAAATAACCAGGTCTTACACAAAGATCTGACTACAGGGAAACATGTTAAAGCACTAGTATAAATTAACCCATGTTTATTAAAGAAATTCTGTTCTATCCATACAAAGCGGCATTCTGCAGCCTTTAAACTATGACAAAACATCTATTGGGGGGTGGAAGTGGCCAGGGAAAGGTCATTGGGAGAAAGGAGACATGTAATACTTTAAACAAATAATTTTTAAAACAGCTATTAATATGGAAATAAGGTTATGATTTAATATATCATTGAGGGACAGAGCCAGTAATAAAACCATATTACAATATAAACACATGCACACAAGAAAATTCAGTTTTTAAATCCATCTTTTATGCCACGGCACTGAAATACTCCAACAAATGTGTTCTGTTTTTTTTTTGCTTAAATTTTTAATTACTTAGGTAACAACACATACATCTTCCTATTTAAAAAAGGGAAATATTATAATAAAAGTTCCCTCTTACACATGACCCTCAATCCCTGCGCACTCCTCCAACTTGAGAGTTAACCACTGTGTGGTATCCTTCTAGAATAGTCTATATTTTTATTGCATATAGATGTATCCACGGTAAACATATATGTATAGTACAGGTTTGCACCAAATGCTTTTGTTTCTGAACAATCTTATCACGTGTAACTTTATGTAACCACCACCACCACGAAGACAGGGAGCTGTCCCATCACCACAGAGCTGCCTCCTGCCACTCTGCATAGTCAAACTCAAAGCCACATCCACCCTCTCCCTCTTAATAGACCCTAACCCCTGGTAACGGCTCTCCATCTCTGTATTTTATTTAAAGAATTTAATCCTCTGGCATGTTGTAAATATTAATCTCTATGAAAGTACCCTCTAGCACAATCATGTCAACTCAGAAGCCAACAGGGGCCAAATAAACAAGGTTAAAGTTGATGTGGGCTGCAAAAAAACAAAAGCTTCAGTTTTCATAGAAACGTAGTTTATTTCTATAGAGACATGCAGAATTAAAAGGGCTGAAATAAATGAGTAATAATTAATGTAAGATGATAGAACATTTTAAGAAAAATTAATATTCTTTCTTGAACATTAACTTACCAGACACTGCACAAATTAATAAGTGGAACACAGATAAACCTATTTTTATTGTTCTTCGAAAGTGAAATATTTGTTGCACACACCAAACAAGTCAGTTCAAGACTAATGATGTGGCAATTGGCTGCTAAAATATTCGCTGCTAGTATTAGTGGAGAGAAATGGTGCACCTGTGCTTAAGATACAAAAGGGAAAATAATGCAACACAATTATAGTAATCAGTCATTAGCGAACGCTGCAGTTCATTTTTAATAATTACGTGTAACTGGATATTGTAAAAATTAAGTTACAGAATTTTTATTAAAACAATTCTTACATACTGTTATATTGGTGGGGCTGCAAAAATATTCATTGTGGGCCACAAGTGGCCTGTGGGCCGCGAGTTTGACATGCTTGCTCTAGCATTTAATGCTAGGAATGTGGAATGTCTTGGCTTGAAAATCTAGTTTATTATTTTTGTGTAGAAGTGAACATTATTTGTCACTAGCTCTCTAGTACAGTCCCTGTTGACTTTACAAAAAGAAAATATATTTTAGGTAGAGGTTTTATTGCTCCTGAGTGAATCATTTTAAACTCTCTATTTTGGTGATAATAGAAATAGGCTTATAGTCACTTGATTTACTTCCACAGATTTATAAAGTGTTTTTCCAATTATTTTAATATGAACACTGCTTTACAGTGGAAGAGTATCAAGATAATTTTTTTTATCATCTAGAACATCTGAAAACATCTAAAAAATTGAATTGCTCTGAATTGTTTTGAAATGGTCTATTTTAGAAATCTCTCCAGTTAAAAAGTTATGCACAGTGCATGGTCAGCAGTGGCCAGGAGTGATGTCCAACAGCTTAAGTCAAGTTATGGGGAAAGAGGAGCTTCAGAGCAAAGCAGGCAAAATTAAAAATGAGCTTGTGTCTCCCCACATGCCCTCTTCTCTCCGAGACCTTCCCAAACAGGAATTGTGTACTCATTAAACAATAACTCCCCCATTTCCCCTTCCCTAGCCCCTGGCAACCAGCATTCTCATTTCTGTCTCAATGAACTTGCCTATTTTAGGTAGCTCCAATAAGTGGGGTCATATACTTGTGGGGTCATATCCTTATTTCACTTAGGGTAGGTAATACTTTCAAGGTTCATCCATGTTTGTAGCATGTGCCAGAATGTCACTCCTTCTTGAGGCTGAATAATACTCCACTATACATACATACATTTTTTTATCCATTCATCTTTTTGTCCACCTTTTTACTACTATGAATAATGCTATGAACATTGTTATACAAGTATATGTATTACTGTACATTTTCATAAATCCATTCTCCTGTATTTTTGTTGTATAAATAAACTTTAGAGCACTTTATGATTTAGAAGTCGAACAGAAACTAATGCTAGCATACATTTTAAAAAGTGTAATATTTTATTATCAGCATTAAAATATTTGTTCATGTTGAAGATTCAGGGATAAATAATAGACAAAAATCTGGGATGTAAGCAACACTACATAGACATATCATAAATATATGGGAATATTTTGTGAATTATTAGATTAAAAATATAAAAGATGAAATTAGATCAATTATTGTGTTTAGTCTTTCTGAATATACTTTTAGCATTAAATACACAGCAAGTGCCTATATTTAAAGATTCTACCTTTCTCTTTAGTGAAGAACACAGGCTTTCCCTTGGTTAATCAGAATTAGTTTCAGCAGGTAAAACTTCTTAAAGATAAGCATGGCATTTAGAACTTTTGCTCTAAAATCTTGCTGGACTGACTGTTTGATGATCGCTCTCGTTCTTTGGTAATTTCCATTTCAATTTTTACTTTGATTTTCTCCCAATCTATTTGGAGCTGCAGTAGAAAAAAATACATTTTTTGTTTAATCCAAAGAAACCAGGAATATATATATATATATATATATATATATATATATATATATATATATATTAAGAATAAGACCAACCATAACATTAAGCACAATAAAAAGCAAATACTCTCATTGTGACTAAAAAGACCAAAATCTTGTTGTAGAAGTTTATACAAAACATATCCAAATAGTGCACTGGACCTCAGGATTCTGTGCAGGTGTCTCAGGACATAGGGGAGAATGCGGACTGCTCTCCACCAAGCCTGTTGCAAATGGCTCAGCTCTTCACTGCTTATCTTCTGAAGTTTACATTAGAGGCCTATCTCTGAGGAAAGATAGGACGGCATTTGCTTCCCTTGAGCATACTTTGCAAAAATGGCTTCTTAAAGTAATATAAAGTTATAGTGGTGATTAAAACAATGATGTAAAGTATCAGAGGAAGTAATGGGAAAGCAAGGCTGGGGCACACAACAAGAATCACTGACAAGTGATAATATTTGAATCTACTTCCTTCCCTTTGATCCTTGATGATGCACCTCTGCCCTGCTCTCATTACATTTGGTATCAGGCATGGACTCTGCCCTAAGTCCTATGAACAATTTCTTTAAGAAAAAGCATCCTCTGTTTTTAAATCCATCTCTTATGCCACTGCATTGAAATACTACAATAAATGTATAGAATCGTCCTTTTTTTTTTGTTAAATTTTTAATCATTTAGGTAATAATAGCTGCATCTTCTTGATATATATATATATATATATACATATATATATATATATATAGCCAAAGTCCGTAATGTCCAAAACAACCAAAGGAATGACTGAATGCCATGCTGTGTGTACAGGCTTGGGTGGGCAGGGACTGGCGAGTGAGCTGAACTGCTGACTTCTTGGAGAGAGAAAGAGGTGGGGCTGATCAGCAGCCACCCTGGGCTGGTGGCGAGACCCAGAGAGAGAAGCAGTGTCTGATCCACAGCCTCTGTGGTAGCTGCTGATCAGCTCTTGCCTCTCTCTCTCTCTCTCTCTCTCTCTCTCTCTCTCTCTCTCTCTCTCTCTCTCTCTCTTCTCTCTCTCTCTCTCTCCAGTCCTTGCCAGCAGCCACACCTCTCTCTCTCTAGGCTTGGCCAGCAGCCTGGGGTGGCTGCTGATCAGCCCCGCCTCTCTGATCAGGCCCAGAGACAGGCCTGGAGATGCTGACTGGCATAGCAACTGACCAATCAGAACCAAATCTGAGTGGACTGCGAGGAGCCAATGGCTGACTAGGAGGCGGAGCTTTTGACATAGAAACTGACCAATCAAACCTAATCTGGATGAACTGTGAAGGCAGACCCTAAGGTGGGGGCTGAGGAGGGGTTTTAAGGGCAATAGCTGTTTGGTGAAAGGTGTAAGAAAGTGATTCAATTTTTTTAATGACTGGTTTGGCAGTGTAGTGCATATGGCTGGTTATCAGTCCAGATATAGAGATTATGTATTTTTGTCTGCCTGGCTCTCATTCTCTCTTTAGACCACTGTAGTTGTAGAACACGAGTATGTTCTCATTACATTAAGGTCTGAATTATTCAAATTCTGTCTCACAAAGATGAATATTATACATAATCATAAAACATATACATTATAAAATACTATATAATACTTACACCTTCTGCATACTGCAAGTATCGTTTATCAGTTTCCTGTTTACCAAATGTCTCCAAAAACTTTTGACGGTAGGCAAGAACTGTATCAACGTGTGTTTTGTATTTAACAGCCAATTCAAGTGCCCTATAATGAGAATAAAACAGATTGTCAGTATGGCTGTATTAGCCTCTATGGGATGAGAGGGTGGGACAAAGGTTCTATGTTGTTCCCTCCACTCATCCCCCAGTATGAAGCGTCATTTCCTAAATCATCCATCTTACAAATTTCTCTGTATACTTCAAGGACCAGATGATGCATGAGCTCATCTCCCTGATCAGCTCCCCTGTAGAAATCCATGACCATTTTCTTAGCTGTGCGCCATAACATTTTATGCATACTGTTATTACAGAACTGTTTATAATTATTATAATTATTATCAATCTGTTTCCTTCAAAAACCTATACATTTTCTGAAGGAAGATTTGGCTTTCATTTATTTTTGGTGAGTACTACAGAATATATGTATGGCAAGTGTTCACTGAAAATTCACTGACTGAAATAATAGTAATCAGCAAATAAATGAACTTTCCTTCCAAAGGAACTGGTTCAGCTATCTTGATTATTTCTGTAAATCTATGATTTTTTATGTTTAATATTCAACTGAATTGTTAATACAGCAAATTTAAAATATTATGAAAATAAAATTTGAGGATAAGTTTGACAAAATACCTTTGCTATTTGATTCTTAGAAAAAGTTAACAGCCATTTACATTTTAAATAAATTTTTTAAAAATCTAGTCAGTAGTCAATATTGTCTAAAATAACAGATTTATAATAGTTGGCTCTGATAAGTCATGACTGGCCTATACTAAATTCTAACTAGTATCTATATAACTATGCTACTTTATTTTTTTTAAATATATTTTTATTGATTTTTCACAGAGAGGAAGAGAGAGAGATAGACAGAAACATCAATGAGGAAGAGACATCAATCAGCCGCCACCTGCACACCTTCCACCAGGGATGTGCCTGCAACCAAGGTACATGCCCTTGACCGGAATCAAACCAAGGACCTTCAGTCCGCAGACCAACGCTCTATCCACTGAGCCAAACTGGCTTCGGCTAACTATGCTACTTTAAAGGTAATATTTAAATAGGAGACAAGAAGTAGATGAATTGCTGAAATCAGTATTACAATAATACCACAGACATAAAATCTATATGTTGATAGTATGGTGGGAATTGACAGTTCCAAGCTGGGTTTTGTAGGCAGGTTTTGGACAGCATCTCAGCCCATGATCCTGTGCATAACTCACAGTAGCTGAGTGGGGAACAATCCAGTAGAATATATATAGCTTTCTGAACACTGTCCCCTGTCATCTTGTGTTAAAGTATGGGAAACAGCCATCACAAGAGTCATAATACATTGTTCCTCAACTTTTCTTGCTTTCTAACATGACTTGCAATTTCTGAATAGGCCAATCATGATTTATCAGAGCCAACTATCAAAATCTGTTGTTTTAGACATTATTGATTACTGACTAGATTTTTTTTTTCAATATGTGACTCTATAGTAGGAAAATCTATTTAGCTCTTAGCATGCTTTGGCTTGATCTAAACTAAACAATCTCTTTAAGATTTTAGATATGCTGTGTGTATTAACTGACAATTGATAGACAACTGATAAGTTAAATACAATATGAAAAAATTATGTCACATTAATGCAAATGATAATGCCAAAGTTTGGCACAACAAATTCTTATAAAAATATAATTGGCATAAACTATACTGCTAAATTCAAAGATATTTGCTGCCCATCACAAACTCCTCACAAAATTCCTTTATTCCTCTGTGACTTGAAGTCTTTCAGAGAAAAAAAAGATACACAGAAAGAATGTAGAGGTATTGGTACATACAGGAACAAAGTAGAAGAGAAGGCAAAAAAAACAATTCATAGAGGATCAAAAGATGAGAAGTAAAGATTATCTGCCTTCATCTTTCTAACCCTCTCCCATTTTATCCCCTTATATGTCCCTAAGGGTCTCATTCCAGTGATGTGTCTGTGAGTGGTAACTCTGGTGAACCACCCTTTGGCACTTTAGAAGTTCCGTTTCACATTCTTTCTGATTGTACATGATGAGGGAAGGAGCGCTTGACTGCACACAACTAGAAGTGTTCTAAGTGGAGAATATACATATGCATCCATTCTGGGTGGGGCTTTACAAAAATTCCAAAGAGATACTTTGTTATGGAACATCATTACACTTAATTATGTAGAACGATAGAATCTGATGCCTAATCCTGCATTTAGATGCTAGATAGATACTAAGCATTATCTATCATTATAGCCATTATTATTATAAAATATGTATTAATTTATCTGATTAAAAAGCAATGGCTAAAGATAAACACTCAAATGTGTTATTTTAAATGTTCTCTAAAAGTACACGCTGGGTATAAAATGTTTCCTTACCACATTTAGGAGGTAATTCACTCCAAACTATATAAGGGTTATGGGAACAGTATGTCTCTAGCAAATGGTTATTTGGCAACCAAACAAATGTGACATTAGATTATGGGGTTGGAATAAATCCATGTATCTTCTCTGATTTTAAATAGAAGGAAGTTACATAAAAAGATAACTCTAAAATATGATTTCTTGGCATAATTTGAATAAGGCAAAATCACTTCATATAACTGGTAGAAGTAGAGAAATTATTTTTATTAATACTTATATAGAGAATCAATATGTATATCTGGAGTTTTTAGTTTCTAGCTACCCCTCACCTGTTTTTCAGAACAGACCACCACCAAATATCCAAAGTGAATGTCAAGTAGATAACTTGCTTACCTACAGGTCTTTTAGGATTGCATTTTGTTAGGTTCCAGGCAATTTTCAAATTCAAGTAGGAATGACAGAAGCACAAGCCAGCGAGACTGTGCTTCTCAAATGGAATAACACATCAAAACCTGTTCCTTTCTAAAAGTTTTAGACAAATATAGAAGTTCAGGGATCTTAAAAGCAATCTACTATATTTATCATCCCTATTGGACTATGCTGTTATAAACTGATTCTTATATTGGATCCAAATATACATCCCTTACTCCTACTCTCTGACCTTTTTATCTTAGCCATACCATTTAGAATAAAAAATTACCATCACAGAACTTGATTTTGTTCACTGCTATATTCAGAGCTTAAAACCTAGCACACGAAAGCACCCAATAAATATTTTTAAAATGAATAATAGCTACCATTTATTGTAGGCTTACTATGTTAGGCAGTATGCAAATAAATTTTTACAATTTTAAAATCCTGACAATAAATATGAGGTTTATTTCAACATAAGGAAACTGAGATTTACAGAGCCTCAGTAACCTGCCAAGATCACAGAGCTACAAATGCAGAACCAGAAGTCAAACCCAGGCCTAATTCCATAACCCCCATCCTTAGTCACCACATTTGCCCTCTTCCTATTCAACACCTTTTCAATCTGGTACTCTTACATGACCAGATACTTCACCAAGAGACTGTTTCTTCATGCTGTTGTTTTTTCAGCAGATCTCCATGTAATGTCTAAATATGCCCAATATGGCAGGCACTCAATAAATATCTGCTGAATGAATGAACATGCAATAGCAACAAATATTCCAAGTGGTGTCAGAAATATCTGTAGAATTTAGAAATGAAGACAATACATAAAAGTTTCTTAGCAGCTATAGTAACTTCTGTTGACTACTGAAGTCCTTTTTTACTCAGTCCTTGATAATTATGCTAAAAGAGATGGGAAACGGCAGGTTTCATTTCAATGCGTCAGAGGTCAAGAGTGACATGGTTAAATTCATTGTGACAAGATCATTATGCCTACAGCGTGAAGAAGGGAGGAGATGCAGAGATTAGTGAGACGTTATCCTGAGAAAAACTTAAATCATCTTAGGGATGCTGGTAGTAAAGTGGATATGAGTAAGAGGTATTTGGGAGGGAAAATAATTGGTAATTGGTAGGTGGGAGTGGAGCATAAGGAAAATGTCAAATGTAAGTCCTAGATTTCCAGCTTTGCATGGACTGGCAAGATAATATAGGTTACTTGAAGAAGACCAAGTTTAGGAGGGAATAAATATAAATTTGAACTCAGACATATGAGACATCCAATGGAAATGTTGAAAAGGCAGTTGGATAGCCAGGTGCTGAGAGCAAATTTGGCAGGTCAGAGGGCTAGATGAGAGATGCATTTTTGGAGTCAAGTGTGTAATAGTATAATCAGAATCCTGGAACAATGCTCCAGGATCTTTATCAGGTAGACACAAAGGCCTACCAGCACTTGGCCAACCCACTGGTTTATAGTTAAGACAAGCCAGGAACACAGGAAAGGGGGGTGGCAGGTAGACGGGAGGAATAAAGAGCACCCAGTGTTCATTCTTTCCCAAGGAAATCCTCTGGCCCTTTTGTTTTTTTCTCTCCCTGAGATCTAGTATCTTTTTAAAAATATATATTTTATTGATTTTTTTTACAGAGAGGAAAGGAGAGAGATAGTCAGAAACATCGGTCAGCTGCCTCCTGCACAGCCCCTATGGGGATGTGTCCCCAATTAAGGTACATGCCCTTGACCAGAATTGAACCTGGGATCCTTCAGCCTGCAGGCTGATGCTCTATCCACTGAGCCAAACCAGTTAGGGCGAGATTTAATATCTTAAGGTAGGGTCTATTTGTTGAAAATTGGAGGTAGAGGAAAAGGGAGGTACAGAGAGGATATAGAAATAATAGGGAAGATGTGAAGTTACAGCAGAAAAAAATCAGGGTCACATGACATAACTCTCAAAGGATCAGATATCTTATAAGATGGGGGGGTGGGGGGAAAAGAATGAGAAAGGCAAAAGGGACATCAACCCCATTCACATCCAGAGCCTAAGAATTGTGGAGTCAGAAATAACTGACTCCATTTGAGAGGACATGTGTAGCTACTGATGGACATTACTTTGACTAACGCACTTTTGATGCTTCTCTTAAAATTATCATGTTTTCTTTGATTACAAAATTCGAAATTTTAACCGGTTGACAGCTGATCCATATTTTTAACGGATTAATAATTAATTCGCATTACTGGTTTAAAATGTGGATTAACTTTTAACTGGTTAGTAATGTGGATTTTGTAATCAAAGAAAATACAACAATCAAAAGTACACATTTCCCCCATCTTTCAGGTATTTGTGGATACCATCCCAATAGAACTTTTCTTGGTTTGAGGCAGACCATTCAGAGACCCAATTTTCCACTTCTTCGTATGGTTTGAAGTGTTGCTCAGAAAGTGCGTGTACCATCAATCAGAACGAGTGGTAATCTGAAGGTTCAGAGTCTGGTGAATAATATAGATCAACTACTAACTGGTTAATAATGATAATAAAATAAAATTCCTAAATAGGTTGTAAGCTTTTAAAGCTAAAGATCTTTAAAAAGTTTGTTTTTAATACTATACAGTGTTTATAATGCTATACAAATAGTAGTGTCTAACACTTATCAACATAAATATTTTCTCAAAAAATATTGGTTGAAAGAATGCTTTAAACATTATTCTTTCCTATTTCTCATGCAATTCACAGCTTGATAATGGTATATATAATTTTTATTAGTTATTTAATATAGAGTTTTAAAAATATTTCTCATGCTGTCTCTTTCCAAACTAATTACTTTAAAATTTATGAATTAAGAAAACATTCAGGACAATGACTTATTCATGTTTATATAACCAAAAGCATTTTTCATGATGTTTTGTACAATTAAACAATGGCAACCAATTTGTCTAAATAAAAAACCTAAACAGAATGGCTGAATTGTATGAACAGTATACAGGCAGTCCTCAGGTTCCGTTGGACTCAACATACGTCATTTTGTGATTACGTTGCCATCTCCGTTATTTATAAAAAAAATTCTGTCATTTCTACATATGCACGTATGTGCTTTATGTTTTTTATTATTTATTTACCACAAGTAAAGGTCATGAATTGTTATCTTTCTTTTAAATTTTTTTACTGTTTCACTTCATTACTGCTGTGTATGTGCAGATGTGAGTGACATAGGTGCTTATGTAGGTGGGTTCTGACTTACGGTGAAAATCAAGTTACGTTGTGCCTTAGGAATTATTCTCTGACATAACCCGAGGACTGCCTGTATAGATCATTAGTGCATAAATTAAATAAAGAGACTGTAATATGTCAATGACAAAAATAACTATCTGCCATTCTTCTTTCTTTTATTCAAGGGAAATTAGAGCTAGGATATCTATAAAAATTCTACTCTAAGAGGCCTGTAATTGAAAAGATTTATAGGTTATATTTGAGCCCAGAGAGAAACAAAGACAACGAAAGACATTTCTAACCTGGAAAAGTGGACATTTTATAACATAGTAACTTCGGGTGTATGTATACAAGCACTACAACCCTGTTCACTGAGAGACACATATTTGAGAGAATGAGTGTGGGAACCTAACACATCGGGAAGGAATAGCATGCCATTCTGTCTTAGAAAGCCATCTGCCCTAAGGCTAACGTTACTACCAACCACTCCTTACTATAAATCCTTTCATCTTTCCTCCATAGAATCACAAATCTCTCTTGGCTCTTTTCTCTGCCTGTCTGACTGCTTTATCCCAATCTTTCAGTGGCTTTCTCTCCTTTCACTTATCCTCTAAGTGTTGTCGACATCTTCTCACTTCAAACATTCCCCAGTCTATTCCATCCATTCTTTTGGCTTCAACTAACATCCATTTCCTGATGACTCCAAAACCTACATTTCTGGTTCAAATCTTTCCTATAAGCCCCTGGTCCATTTAATAAACTATTATCACATATTTCTCCCCAAATATTTCACATTCAATAAGCCTAAAACTAAACTATTTTCCCTTCCAAATCTGCAATATTATTCCAAAAACGAAACTATTTTCCCTTCTAAATCTGTAGTATTATTCAATTACTGAAATCAGAAATTTGGAATACATCCTAGAATCTCTTTTCTTCTTTATACCCCAACTTTTAATAAATCACAAGTTCAGCCGAAACTAGTTTGGCTCAGTGGATAGAGTGTCGGTCTGTGGACTGAAAGGTCCCAGGTTTGATTCTGGTTAAGGGCATGTACATTGGTTACGGGCACATCCCTGGTAGGGGATGTACAGGAGGCAGCTGGTCAATGATTCTCTCTCATTGATGTTTCTAGCTCTCTATCCCTCTCCCTTCCTCTCTATGAAAAATCAATTACAAAAAAATTAAAAATAAATAAATAAATAACACAAGTTCAGAGGAGGCATAAATCTTTAATTACAAAACTACTCACAAATATAAACATGAATAAATTCTTTTGTGTGGTTAGAAAACTATGAAATACAGTGAAAAATGTAATTTACTAAAGTGGTAGTTAAAAGAGTAAGATCAATCTGGTTTTGGAATTGATAAAAACTATTTCTATTACCTTTCCCATTTGTAGAGATCAATATTTATCTGGATTGCTTGGTAAACAAGGCCAGCCTGAAGAAGTAGTATTTCAGCTTCCTGTATATTCCCACTAAACATTAATATGTGGGCCATTTTTGATTCTTTAGATGGAAGATCTTTTATAGAATTGATGTATTGAACCTTATCAATCTAATAAAAGAAAATATATTTGAATTGGATAGTAACAGAAATATAACAAATTATGGCAACACATACACACATATATATACATAAGTGAACATTATTTACCTCACCAATCGCTGCGTAGGCTATTTCTGCAGTTGTCATATCTCGATTAGCAACTGCCATAGCAGCTAGGCAGGCCCACATGGTTTGTTCCTAAAATGAAATATGAGAATAATTATCTCAATTACATGGTTGAATTTTTAAAATAAACAGTGATTTAAAATATAACAAAATTATATTTTAATTTAAAAAAAATTACTGAGACTGGCACTGAAAGAATGAATAATTCAATAACTTAATGATGTAGAAATTTCACTGTGGCTATTTTGTTAAAATGCATTAATAACACACAGATTACTATTTTTAAATAAATTTTTTAAAATTTCTGAGTATCAAAGATTCACTTTTGAACTCACAATATACTTTTAAAATAACTTAAGGTTTAAACCTCTAGTCTTCTTGATAAGATGTTAAATATAACATACAGGGAACCTGAGGAATGGGAAAGTTCTTGGATAATGCTATTATAGCAGATTGCCACCAACAATCCCTTTTAAGAAAAAAACATCAAAAAGTCAATTAAAGTGGTTTCTAAGGAATGTTAACCATATTCAACAAAAGAGTTCTGTGGTCAAACATATTTGGAAAACCCTGGATTCAACCAAGTTGGGAAATGCTGATTTTAGGCAGATTCTTAAATTTAGTTGCATGAAACATCTGAGAAACTTAAAAACTATGCCCAGACCTCTTCCCAGATTTAAGAAATTAGGAACTCTGTGAAGATAGAAGTTGGGAAGCTGACTTTAGAAAAGCTCCACAGAAGACTTTTTATATGTATTAATATGAAGACGCTACCCATTTAAATAACAGCTTCCTCAGAAAATAAATCACAAAGCACCTACCCCCTGGATCACTCATATCTTCATTTATAAAAAGAGGTATGATCCTGATTACGTATTTTCACAGCCCTTAACTATTGTCATTTCTCATCTTGTACAGATAATTTCTAAACTAATACACAATATATACACAACTATGGGTCTGAAATGTTAAGTACCTTAGAAATATAAGTACCTTAACAAAGCGACAGAGTCTTATAGCATCTTCCCATTTTGAACTGTTCACATATTCATGGAGAATAGCAGGATATGGAGATATGCTCATGTGAAACAATGAGCCGTCGGCTCTTCTTATAGTTACCTGATTTCCCACAAAGCTCACAATATGGGGATTTTTACTAAATTCACTGTAGGAAAAAAAAAAAAAAAAGCGAAGTGCAATTTATTTTCTGAGCAAATTTTTCATTTATATTAAATTTGGAGAGTTAATCCCTGACATACATAGAGAGTATTCAACTTCCAAAATGCACCTCCAAAAAAGTTAATTCCATAGAGAATAGATATATTCAAATACACATTTGAATCTAACTTTTTATCTATATTTGGAGCAAAATATGCTCTTAACATGGCAAATCTATTATATACATGAGAGCTATTCCTAAAAACACTTCAAATGACTTTTCCCCTCAATCCTAAGGTAAGTCACACAAATGATTAAATCACTTTTCTTGAATTTTTAAAGTATTAAAGTGTAAACCATTAAAAACTAAGCTGATTTCAAGAATATTTCCTCACCATCAGAAGAGATCAACTTTAAGAGACTAACTTTTCTTTTTTTATTTATTTTTCTTTATTGATAACTTCTCTTTATTAGTTTAACAACTTTTAAAATGATGCCTGTTCAGTTTTGTTAAGGTTATACATTTAAAAATTAAAAGTGAACTTCAAATAGATTTGCAAGTTAAGTTAAGGTTTAGAATTAAAAGCCTTTGTATTCCTATTTGTCAAGAGTGAGAGATCGTCTATTCTTTTTCTTTTTCTTTTTTTTTTGTAATTAATGGAAGATATTTTCCCCATTAATTTTTAGAGAGATTGGAAGGGAGGGGGAAGAGACAGGAGAGAGAAACATCAATGTGAGAGAGATACATCGATTGGGTGCCTCCCACAGGAGTCCTGACCAGGGCTGGAGATCAAACCTGCAAATGAGGTATATGCCCTTGACCGGAATCAAACCTGGGACCCGTTAGTCCACAGTCCAACACTCTATCCACTGAACCAAACCAGCTAGGATTCCCCTTGCTATTTCTTAGAGAATTTAGAATTATAAATGTATTTGATTTTCTGAAGCATATAAAATTTAAAAAACTTTTCAGTAATTTTATGTTTTTCTTTAATATTAAAATATTAATTTACAAATTAAATTGTAGATTGAATTCAATTTTAGAAGACATACATTCCTGAAAGGCTTAAAGTCAGTGACAATCTGGGGGAGAGTAAAGGTTGTCACAATGTTGTGTACCACTGAAAAATCTTAAGAATGGCTATATTAAAATCACTAAACCACATTGAAAAAACTATCTGAGTTACCATTAAACAACATTAAGCTTTAACATTATACTCGTACTATGAGAATTACAGTCACATAAGAAACAATAAGTAGTATTATAAAACATTTTCAACTTGGTTCCATCAATTAAGTCTCACTAAGCTAGCTTTAGCTTAACAAAGTATTCAGTTAACTGAGTAAAGTGAAAGATATTTGCAGCATTAAAATTAGAGACAAAGACATGACACTCTATTAGTTTTATTTATGTAATAAATAATACTGTGCAGTAAAATGTTACCTGGCATCCCTTTCATATAATGTTTTGGGAAAAATGTCTTTGTCCACATAAACTGTATTGGGGTAATACCACACTGTAAATCGAGTATCTTGAAGTCCACAAAGGATATTGCATGTATCACTCCACGCCAAAGTATGCACCATTGTTCCTTATTTTAAAAAGAATGTTAATGTACGGTTAGTTCCACTATATAATAAGTATTAAACATATATCTTTAAAATATATCTTGACATACAAGACCCCATCTAATTTCTGGTAGGTCTGACTATTTTCTGATCACATATGATGAAAACATGTACAAAAATTCACATAAGAATTAATGGAAATATCTAAATATCCTATCCAGAACCAATGTATTTTTTTATTTTTTTTTATTTTATTGATTTTTTACAGAGAGGAAGAGAGAGGGATAGAGAGATAGAAACATCGATGAGAGAGATCATCGATCAGCTGCCTCTTGCACACCCCCTACTGGGGATGTGCCCGCAACCTAGGTACATGCCCTTGACCAGAATCGAACCCGGGACCTTTCAGTCCTCAGGCCGACGCTCTATCCACTGAGCCAAACTGGTCTTGGCCAGAACCAATGTATTTTTAATTTGCAAGTCTCTTCAATGCCAATTTAGTTGTGGTTACTAACAACCTGCTATTAAAATGGAACTAATAGCTAATAAATGTTATGATATTAAAGCATTCATAGATTCATTCAAGCAAATAAGCTATTTAGTATAATATGTGACAGAGTAGACCTAAGAAAATTGGAAAGTAATTAAAATTCTAAATGTATTATTACAATAAATTTACCAAGTTTGATAATTTGTTCTTCCTTCCCAAATCGTTTCACTGAGGTGATATAGAGATCTCTATTTTTATCAATAAAAGCAATTTTTCTGTCATTAGTAAGTCCTTTTTGATCCAGAGCAATCTCCGAAATTTCATTCTAAAATTAAAAAAAAAAATACTGAATTAGTTTAACCATCAGATCATTTTAATTACTTAAAGAACATTTGTTTACTTAATGATCAATTAAATTTACTTGATGGTTAAAAAAACTGTCCCTGTTAAATAATTTTAAACTGCTAATACACTAATAATTCAAAAGCTATACTAACATGTTTTTTGTGGGGGGTTTTGGCCATAGAAAGATGCCCCTTAAAACACTAAAATAATGTATATTTTGAAACAGTAAGCTAAAGAAAACATTTCCACCTGAGTAGTCAGGGCAAAAGAATAAGGCAAGTCTGGGTATCACATGAGAGATTTGATTAAGCTTCTCACACCACAATTTACTCTAAGTAGATTGCCTGTATTTTAAACATTTGTAAGAACTGATTTATGGAAATATCTTATGTTTTCAAAGCCTTATATTTTATAGATTTCTTTCACAATCATTTCATGTGAAACAGGAAATAATCTTCTGAAGTAGATATACTTATATTAGAGGCCCAGTGTACAGAATTTGTGCATGGGTAGGGTCCCTAGTGGCTGCCACTTGCCAGCTGGGGCCTTCCTTTATTCCACACCACCCCCTGGTGGTCAACATACATCATAGCAAGCGATCAAACTGGTTGGTCAAACTACTGAGGGGACACTTTGCATATTAGGCATATATATATATATAGCAAATGAGAAGACTGAGATCCATGGCCATTAAGATATTTTGCTCAGAAAAAGCTGGTAAGAAGCATATCTAGAATTTACAATCCAGACTTCTGACTGTACAATTAATGATCAGTGTACAATAGCAAAGTACTTCTCGCATATTGCATCAATCTTTTATCAAACTAGCTAGTGAAATGTATTTTCTCATAATTTGAAAATGGTTCTGTATGGATTGATTTCAATTCAAATTAAGGAGTGTTTGTTTACTGTTTACTATGTCTGATGACTTGCTGGGATCTGTGAATTCAGCAAAAATCATGTTTGCACCAAGTAACTGTATCTATGTATACTATCACAACATCTTTAAAAAACAGCAATTCAAGAATTTCTCCCAGAATACACTAACACTTGGGCAAGAAGGTATTTGCAAGATAAGTCATCTTGGCAATATTGTAACAGCCAAAGACTGGAAACAAATGTCCATCACTTGGATATAAGTTAAAGAAATTCTGATACACCTATAAAATGTTATATGTATGTGGGATGGGGGAAGGATTGGGAAAGTACTTCATATGATGATATGGAAAGTTCTCCAGAAATAGTGTTGTGTGAGAAAAGGTGCAGAGTTGTATTTTACAGTTTTGTAAAAGATGGGGAAAAGAACATATCAGTTCTGTTTGTGTTTGCATTGAAAATCTCTGGAAGGATATATAGGAGATTAATAAAGTGGTAGTTATTTGGTAGAAAAACTATTTATGAGGAACAGGTGTACAAGGCAGACATTTTCACTACTTACTCTTTTATGACTTTTTTATTTCTGAATCATACAAATGTGTGTTATTCAAATTTAAAATAAGTAATTAAAGAAGTAAAAAGTGACAATTTACATTAGAAATAGCTAATGTCCATTACCGTATGAGAGAGAAGCTTTCCATCACCTAATGGTTTTCCAGTTGATGCCTCAAAGAGGAAGATAACTTGAAAAAAAAGTAGAACATTAGTTAATATATTACATTAAAATTTTTGTTCGTAAACTTCAATGGAATTATATAGTCCTCATGAGAAATTATTTAACTCGGCGGCCCATTGAGTATCTATCAGCACTGAAGAGCAGCAGCATCAAATGTCTACTTATTAACGGGGTCGTATTTCTTATGAAAACAGTGGAACTGGATACTTCTTCCTAAAACATACATTCCCTAATTAGAATGGTTATTAATGGCATGGCTTCAATGCTGCATGGGATCAACAATGTCAAGTCCAAGTCTAATTGTAATCTCTAATTTTGAAAACTGATTTAGAACCAGTATAACACCCAGACAATCTTTATTTCACAAAGGAAAATTGTGTCAAGTGCCTACTATAATAACAGCAATGTGTTATGTACTGTCCAGTTCCCTGTGGTCAGCACACCACTACGGTATAATTTGTTGGGTGTTTGTCCTGGGTCCCTGGCAGAGAACTTGAACCCTTGCCATCGCCTGAGGGATAGGAGTGTCCTTGTTTGCTAACAGGGATTCTCTTTGTCCCTTTCTCTGTTTCAGCAAAGGTTTCAAACATGACAGTGATATGGATGGGTATTTTTTTCCCTTTTAAAAGTTGGGGCGAGGGTGAGAAGATTGTTGGAATGTTTCCCTGATTCTCTTTAAGTAATTTCAGAATTACGTCAGCCCAAGATTCATCCCAACTGGCGTTCATTTTATGTAACTGAACATGCAATAGGTTTACAGAAAAGACAGAAATGGTACAAAGTCAGAAAAAAAATTGGGTAATTTAAGATAACAAAAATGATAAAATATGTATTGATATTTAAATCTTAGAGGAGCACACTTTTAGTATAATATATTGATTTTAGATTTTAGTAAACCTTAAGATATTAAGATTTGAGGTCATTGGTTATATTCACATGTCATAACAGTGAGTTATGCTCTGAGACTGCCAATTATGCTGAGATGAAAAAGAAAAATACATAACAGAATTTTGAGTTAAATATAGAAATATAATTGGAAAATGTTGACTTTTATTTTTAAAATATGATTTGGGCTTGGTAAACCCAGTAATTTTCATAACTATAGAAACTAATAACTTTTTAAAAAGCCTTCCATCCTATGCTGACTGCATATTTTAGAAAGAGCTGGAGGTAAAGGATGAACTCATCTACTTTTCCATATCTAGTGGCCCTGATCTATATATAGGTGGTTGGACCTGTGTTTTGGTGATAACATTAACAGAAACTGGGAGCTGAAAGAGTTGCTTCTAAACTTAAGTATTGTAACTGCTCTCTAACTTTCACTCTCCTCATACCCAGATTATTTATTTCAAATAATCACCCACACTATTAACCTACTGTATCTGTGCAAGACAGAAGTCAAAAGCAGTACCTCTCTATTACTTAACCAGTCACCCAAAGCGGTATATTCAAATCTATTATCATGTATTCATGGAGCACCTACCATAATATAGAGTACTGTGCTTGGTTTAAGAATCATGCCTGTAAAAGAGCACCCAAATTAGAAAAACCACTGATTTTATTTGTGGATTGTCCCGTTGAAAGGAAATTTTTAAAATTCCAGAGTAAAGATTTAGGTACTTCAATTGTGGTTTCCATTATTAGCATATACCCCTATTTTGCCATTAATGAGTACTAATTTCTTTAAAAGGGAACATAAACAAATATTTTCCTTCTAATTTTATATCAGTTCTACAATAATTTTAGTCTTCTTGATTTTCCATTTATAACAAAATGAAATTACATGACTATCTTAATAATCAAAATTTATGTAAATAAAACAAAGTTTATTGGCATATAAATCTGTTTCTGAAAATATTCACAATTCTTTCTAAATGTAAAATTCTATGAGCAATCAAAGGACTAAAGAATAATGAAATATGTTTCACATATAAGTAAACTATAGAAAAATTAAGAATAAGGTTTATTCAGTTGGAAACATTTATATATTAAAGCTCCTACCTACAACATGTGGTGTTCAATAAGAAAAGTATAAACAATTCATAGTGAAGACTGAGATTTTCAAATTTGTTTATTAAAGACAAAAATCTGACTTCCTAATTTTAATTATTAACAGTTACACAGCCATCTTAAATCTGTCTGCTATCTAGAAATGATTTCATTTCCTTCTCTTTTCTTCCTTTCTACATAGAAAGGAAATCCTTAAAACAAAAAAATTAGCAAATGTTTTACTGCACTATGCAATTACAAAACACCTGACATATGTATTGATTTATTCCTTACCACTAAGTTTTGTTATTATAACAATATCTATTTGTTAGAGTATGACAACTTTACATATAGTTCAGTTTTTTCATTAATTCATGTCTAAGACAAAATAGAAAGTTCATATTTCTTTCATAGAAAGTTATATATCAATAGATGAGAAAATGAAAGTTAATGTATGAAAATTTTATAGTGTTAACAAATTTCATGGAAATTTGACATTGGAGATTATAAAAATGTACTTACTTTTTTCATCGGCTTTATCTTTTATTGCTATGGTATCGTTACTCAGAGATACAGTCTGTGCATTCAGAATATCTGTTCTCATTCCAGGAAATTTTGGAGAAGAAATGAAGCGCCCTTCATAAGAATATAAATAGATACCACCACCATCCACAAGAAGAAAATGTCTAAAAAATAGAGAATTAAAAAAATATTCTCAAATAGGAGTATAATATATTTTTATAAGTAATAAAAGTGTAATATGCTCCTTAAACCGGACAACTGAACAACCTTCTGGACGAAGTCACGGGGGCTGAAGCAGAGGCGGTTCAGGGCAATCAGGCAGGCAGGTAAGCAATTAAGAGTGATCAGGCAGGCATGGAGAGGTTAGGGGTGATCAGACAGGCAGGCAGAGTGGTTAGGGGCAAGGTGAGCCATTAGGAGGCAGCAGGTGAGCCATTAGGAGGCAGCAGTCCCAGATTGAGAGAGGGATGTCCTGGATTGTGAGAGGGTGCAGGCCGGGCTGAGGGATACCCTTGCCTTCCTGCCCAAATTTCGTGCACGGGGCTCTAGTATCTTAATACTAGACAATAGTTTATCCTTTGGAAAAACCTAAACCTTACAATTAAGTACATAGGTATATACAAAATGAAATATACAAACAACTTGAAAAGTCAACACTGGCTGTTTTGTTTCTAGATTCTTGTTTTTTAATGGAGGTGGGAGAAGTAAAATGAAAATGCCCACAAATACTACCTTAAATACTAAAAGTTTGACCCCTTTTACATTATACTTGCGATTCCTTTCCTTTCCTAAAGAAGCATCTCTATACAAAGGCAATAAGAAAATCTCACAATTTACATTCAGTGATTTTAATGCCCAATGCTAGTTGTGTCATGAAACAACATTAACACAAACAGATTTCACAATTAATGATTATGTTAAAGACAAAGATTAAATATTGGTTAAAGTCCAAAACAGTGGAAATAACTCAAAATCAACAGTAGGGCCTGGCCGGTGTTGCTCAGTGGTTGAGCATTGACCCAGGAACTAGGAGGTTGCTGGTTCGATTCCCAGTCAGGACACATGTCTGGCTTGCAGGTTTAATCCCCAATAGGGGTGCATGCAGCAGGCAGTCAATCAATGATGTTCCTCTCTCGTTGATGTTCCTATCTTTCTATCTCTCTCCCTCTCTCTTTAAAAATAAATAAAAACATAATTTAAAAAAATTAACATTAGGCCAGCATTTATCAAAATTAGATGCTTTGACTTTAAAATAGTATGATGGCCATTGGTAAATTTATTCATATCAGATCATATTTTTAAATAACAGGGACTAGGGTTCATTTGCTGTGTTGATAATTATATTCAAGGTATAGGGGTTCTGTGTAGCTAATTTTTTATTAAGTCAAAATGTAAACATCTTATGGCTGCTATTTTTTTCTTTGAAAATTTATAAACATTGCAAAAAAAAACAAAAAAGCCCCAACACACCCCAATTCAAACAATACAGAGAAATCAAAAGATCTCTTACAATTATATCTCCAGAAAGATAACTTATAACAAATAAATTATGGATATACCATAACTTTACTTAGTTAACTAAGTTATGGATATACCATAACTTTACTTAGTTAAATAAAAGTCCTGATGGACTTTTATTTCAAATTACTTACTGTTTTAAAGAATGTCTAGAGTCTATACACATCTCTGTACATCTACTTTACTAATTTCCTTAGTACAACTTCTAAAAATGCAATTATTGGATCAAAGGTCTTATACTGTTAAAATTTTAATATTGTTAAAGGGCCCTTTGAAAGGTTGCATTGATTTGCACTCCTACTAATGCTAAATTAGAGTGTCTATTTCTTCAATACTGAACACATTATTACTTTTTAAAATCTTATGTTCAAGATTTTAATATCCTTGTTTCAGAACTATTTCTTGACTCGGGAATTGCTAATTATTCATTCTTGCTATGGAAACAAATAGGAAATAAATACAAAAACAATGAATAGTATATAAACAAGCCCAAAATATACATTTTAATTAAAATAATACTTGATTATTAGAGTGTACTTTATTTAATTAAAGGTTTGACTTTTACACATTAGTGCATATTTGCTAATGTTGCAAAGTGACCTAATGTATTAGTATATATTCTTTCTTAGTCTCAGAACTAAAAGCATTTTCTTGCCCTGGACAGGTGGCTCAGTTGGTTGGAGCATCGTCCCTTACACTAAAAGGTTATGGACTGAATCCCCAGTTGGTTGGGGCACTTACCAGAGGCAACCGATCAATGTTTGTCACATCGATGTTTCTCTCTCCTTTACTCTGTCTCTAAAAACCAATTAAAACCCCCACATATCCTCAGGTGAAGATTTAAATAAATAAACAAACACATAAATAAAAGTATTTTCTCTTCTTTATATCTCCTTGTAAGTAAACAGTTTCAAGGGGCAAACATATCTAAATGTACAAATAAGACCAGCAATAGGCAATAAGTAAAATATTAACTAACAGTTGATTCTATGGATACATGCCTTTACTAAGAGCATATTAAAAAATTACATATTTAGCCGAAACCGGTTTGGCTCAGTGGATAGAGCGTCAGCCTGCGGACTAAAAGGTCCCGGGTTTGATTCCGGTCAAGGGCATGTACCTGGGTTGCGGGCACAACCCCAGTAGGAGGTTGTGCAAGAGGCAGCTGATCGATGACTCTCTCTGATGTTTCTAACTCTCTATCCCTCTCCTTTCCTCTCTGTAAAAAACAAAAAAAATTAAAAATTAAAATTAAAAAAATTACATATTTATAAATAATGTATAAATAAATTTATTAGGAATTGTTTGAGTAAAAAGATGTCAGACATGTTTTTTGGACAGCTAACATCTTACCTTTTAAGTTAGCAAAGATGTCTTTTTATTTTTAAAATTTATAACTAAATAAACAAATCGTGTATTCAATTTCATTAAACAGATGATACAAACTCGACACAATTATTTCCTTGATCAATCAAGGTCATCAATATGATGATCATACTCTTTAGTAACTAGTTAACTGATAGCTTTGACTCATGGGAATCTGCTGGTGCATCAAAATAACGATGCCGCTCAGCTCCACAGTTCTGTGCTTTAAGTTCTCTCTATGCTCCCTTGCCAGCCAGTCACTTTTCTTCCTGTCCCTGTGCCAGCCTCTAACAGCCCACCAGCACCACTCCTCTTCTGGTTTGCTATTTATAAAATGCTGTGGGCTGGGAAACCTGATAATAAACACTATTAAGAGCTGCTTAGGTGGTGAGTAAAGGGATAAGGAATAAAATACATGGTTTTGCGCAAATATTTTCAATAGCTAGCTGTTTTAGGTAATTGTCTATTCTATTTTCAAACTCTATTCCAGGTTTTAATGGTTTGTTATTTTCTAAGTTTGACCTGTGATTCAGCAAGGTATCACTGTATTTGAAAGACTGATAGTTTTCATGGAGAAGTGTGGATTCCTGAGTAATAGCTATTCTATCGTTACTCCAGTTAATGGGTCTGGAGTTTCTTTGTTCTATATACACTGCAGAGGATATCATTTTTTAAACTTTAGGTCACAGCCAAGTAGTGGTTTATAAAATTAATGATTTTCAACCAATATTTAAAAATAAAAACAGAGCCCTAACCGGTTTGGCTCAGTGGATAAAGGTCTGCCAGCAGACTGAAGGGTCCTGGGTTTGATTCCAGTCAAGGTCACAAGCCTGGGTTGTAGGCTTGATCCCCAGTAGGGGGTTTGCAGGGGGTTCTCATCATTGATGTTTCTATCTCTGTCTCTCACTCTTCCTTCCTCTCTAAAATTAATAAAAAATATATTAAAAAAAAACAAAAACAGAATAGAAAACAGAGGGGCCTTGAGGTCAAAACGATTCCATAGTAATTTGCCAGTTTCACTCTCATTTTCTCGTGTCATTACTCTGATATTTACTTCTGAGTTTATTCTCATCATTTTATTTTTTTTATTTTTTTTTCTTAATTTTTATTGTTCATATTAATACAAATGTCCCTTCCCACCCCACCCTCTGCCCTTTCCCCACCCCCCATTGTCCTCATCCATAGGTGCACAGTTTATGTTCAGTCTCTTCCCACATCCCCTTTTCCCCAAGAATCATCAGTTCACTCCCCTTCCATACCTCTGATTCTATTATATTCAACAGTTAATATTGTTCATCAGATTTTTTTTTTAATTTCCTTGGTTTTTAGATTCACTTGTTGATAGTTACGTATTTGTTGTTCATAATTTTTATCTTTATTTACTTTCTCTTCTGAAAGAACCCCCTTCAGCAATTCATATAATTCTGGTTTGGTGGTGATGAACTCCTTTAGCTTTTTTTTATTAGTGAAGCTCTTTATCTGACCTTCGAATTTGAGTGATAGCTTTGCTGGATAGATTATCTTTGGCTGTAGGTTCTTACTATTCATCACCTTGAATATTTCTTGCCATTCCCGTCTGGCCTGCATGGTTTCTGTTGAGAAATCAGCTGACAATTGTATAGGTGCTCCTTTATAGGTAACTATCTGCCTAGCTCTTGCTGCTTTTAATATTCTCTCTTTGTCTTTTGCTCTTGGAATCTTAATTATGATTTGTCTTGGTGTGGTCCTCTTTGGATTCCTTTTATTTGGAGTTCTGTGTGCTTCCTGGACTTGTAAGTCCAATTCTTTCCCCAGGTGGGGGAAGTTTTCTGTCACTATTTCTTTCAATATGTTTTCGATATCTTGCTCTCTCTCATCTTCTGGGACCCCCATAATTCTGATGTTGGATCGTTTGAAGTTGTCCCAGAGGTTTCTTACATCATCTTCAATTTTCTGGATTCTCTTGCCTTCTAGCGACTGCAGAGGAGTATCTTCTGGCTCTTTATGTTCCAAATCTTTGACTTGATTCTCAATTTTCTGGATTCTCTTGCCTTCTAGCTTCTGCGGAGGAGTATCTTCAGGCTCTTTATGTTCCAAATCTTTGACTTGATTCTTGCGATCTTCTATTCTGTTTTTAGGACTCTGTATAATAGTTTTTATTTCAGACAATGTATTCTTTATTTCTTGTTGATCCCTTTTCATATCCTCATAAGTCTCATTTATTTTATCCGCCTTTTCTAGGAAACTCTTGAAAAACCTTATAAGTGTGGTTTTGAACTCTATATCCAGTCGCTTTTTGTCCTCCATTTCTTTCGTTTGTGATCTATTTGGTTTAGGCATTTTCGCAGGCAGCTTTCCTGATGGGGCGGGGTTTCAGGGTGGAGCCTACAGCTTTGGCTTCCGTCAGCCCCGCCCTATGTGACTCCTGAGACTCAGGGTCCTTCAGTACTTGTTGTAAGCGCCTCTGAGAGAAAGGCGCCCTTGATTTTCGCCTGCTACCAAACAGTCTAGTCTCTCCCCCAATGGTCCCGAAACTGGGGTTCAGTTCAGTTGGAAGTGGAGTTGGAGGTGGCGTTCAGAGCAGTCTGGAGCCCCTGTCTCCTTCCCGCCAGGCAATCCCGCGGCACAGCCGGCCGGCCCTTCTCTGTGCGGCGCAGCCGCCGCCGGGACCTCCTTTCGCCTCTTCCCCGGGGTTCAGCCTTTCAGCCCGGCTCCCTCTGTGTGAGCCTGGGTCCCCGGGGTCTGGCCTAGGCCTGGGGTTCAGAGCAGTCAGAATGGGGGCCAGCACATTCGGAGCGTTTATCTCCTTCCCGCCAGGGAATGCCCGCCAGGCACTCCGCCTCCCTCCTCTCCGGCTCCGTCCTCTCCGCGCACCGCGTGTCTCCGTACCTTAGGCTTTCCCAGCTCCTCAGCGCTTCCTTCTGGTTTTCTCCTTGCTTCTCGTTGTAGAATTTCCAGTCAGTCAACTTTCCTGTAGTTCTGGGTGATGTCCATTTTATATTTTAGTTGTATTTTGTTGAAATTGTTGTGTGCAGCTCGGCTAGGTGCCTACCCGAGCAGCCATCTTGGATTCTCCTATTCTCATCATTTTAAATTAACTTTTAAGTCTCAATTTTATTTTCTCATACTATAGTAAATGGTACTATCTATAACCCTCATATAACCCTCCATATTTTATGTATGTAAGCAAGTTCAGAGACCAAAAAGTTTCAGAACCATTGATCTAAGATGGTTAAAAAAAAAAAAAATAGTAGAAACAGATTGATACCTAATGACTAATGTACCATTCTGTAAATGGCATGCTTTAAAGAATGCTTTGCTGTGATTTGAAAAAATTTAACCCAAAATTCAGTAGTCAAAGATGATAAACAAATTACCTTTCTGCTTGCAGAATCAAACTAACAGTTCCTTCTTTGAGATCAAATATAAGTGGTGTATTCCAGTTCTTCGTACTGCAAGACAAATTAAATAGAAATTTTAACATATACAATACTGAATACTTTCTAATACGGAGATAGGTATTCATTTTAAGTGTTTTTAGTTTCACAATAACTTTGTATATATTCCTATTACAGCGATTGGCACACTGTTCTAAAATTATTCACTTAATTTCGGTATCCCTCAGCAGAACACAGAGACTCTGTCCCTAAACCTAGCACCCAGGAAGCATTTAATGAAAGTTTATTGTAGGAATCACAATAAATAGCACCCAAGAAGCATTTAATGAAAGTTTATTGTAGGAATAACAATAAATGAATTGAGGAATCCAAAGTGTATGACCAAGTAAAGTTCATTTATTAGCTCTGTGATTTGGGCAACTCATTTAATGTTTCTCATCTGAAAAACAGTAGCAGCATAGCATAGTGTAAAGGGGATGGGTTTATGCCTAAACAGACCAGGATTAGAAATCTGACAGGTTTCACCACCTGTCAGCCATATGATTTTAAATATATTTTATTGATTTTTTACAGAGAGGAAGAGAGAGGGATAGAGAGTTAGAAACATCAATGAGAGAGAAATATCGATCAGCTGCCTCCTGCATACCCCCTATTGGGGATGTGCCCACAACCAAGGTACATGCCCTTGACCGGAATCGAACCTGGGACACTTCAGTCCGCAGGCCGATGCTCTATCCACTGAGCCAAACCAGTTTCAGCAGCCATATGATTTTAATAAGCTTAATCCCCTAAGCATCAGTTTCCTTATTTGTAAAATGAAGGTAATGACTACTTACCCAAGTATTTAGCTAAATGCCTATGTATGGCAAATACTGAACAAACATTTATAAAATTAACAAGAACATGATAAGCATGATTTATTTCTCATGCAGGTCGCCTAAACAGATGTTTGTGAAGCATTCTGTTAACTGTAAAATATTATATAAATACTTATTAAATAAATGGATACAAAAATGAACAAATACCTCCTTTGGCTTTTATAGTGTAATATGATTCAACGATAGGGATGAGTGGACAAAACATTTACAGCTTGTAAAACCTGTCTCCAAATAATTGGCTGCTTCACAGTTTAAAATGTTTTTTAATGCTCTCTCCTTTGCTTCTCTCATTTCACTACTCCAGACGTGGCTATTATACCAAGTTGTAGATTCTCACTTATAGCAAATTTATACATAGTGAGTGAGAAATATTAATACACAGTTATAACAATGGTTAATTAAATAAGTAAATGTATTAGTTTGCATTATGTATTACTGGGCATGAGGATACCAAGACAACACTATTTTTCATGTTTTTCAATTCACTTATTTATTACTTATTAAGTACCTACTACAACACTGTGCTAGTAGGTAACTGGGCATGTAAATGATGAATAAGATATATAATCTCTATCCTCAATTTTGTATTCAATGATTAGACTCTAACCATATAATGTTATAATGTACTTCCTCTCAATTCTGCTTTCAGACACTACATTGATAGCTTGAAATTGGCCACAGTATAAGTATTTACATTATAGAAATCAGGAACAATGCAAATCAAGGCAAAAAGTTAGTTGTTTAACATTTACTAGCACATACTGAGTTACTATTTTGAATATCAAGTATGTTTAGGTCAAGTCTTGGCAGTGTGGAATCATTCCCTGCTTTCTAATACAAAGTATACCAAATAATATTTGCTTTCATTATTTCTGGACAGCTCTGGATCATCAATATGAAAGTGATTACCACAGGCTATGACGTTAAGCCTAAATAGCTCCTAATGTCCTTTCTAAATGAATATATTTCAGTCTGTTGTCAGGCTGCTAGCTGTCCAGTGGCTAGGATGTTCCTTTTTGCATCATTTATCAGCTGCTTCTATTCTTTTCTGTGCTTTGAAATCAAATTATACTAAATTCCTAAGTATTATACTATGAGGAAAGTAAGCGCAAACATGATTTCAGAGAAGTATTTTGAAAGTGAGTATTAACCTTTGATTCACAAACATTATTAGATCAACTTTCACTGCTCTCGGCTCACTTTTTTTCACTCTTGTTTGGGATTAAGTTCAGGAAAGGAACTTGATATGAAAGATTAAAAATAAATCCTCATCACAGACAAAACTGGATTTTTAAGAAATGCAAGATGCTTACGAGAACACATAACATTGAAGAGACGTTGAAACAACTAAGTGGGCATAGTTCAAAGATGCTTTAATGACTCTGTCACGGAATTCCAGTAAATCCACTGCATCATTAAGCACGTTTCGCACCTAAACAAGGAAAAGTGAAATACCAACAAACAACATTAAAATATATCAAACTTTTATTTGGTAAGTTAGGAAGATTTTATAAAAACAAAAAAAAATTCAATGCTCTCATAACTGTTCAATCACATAAAAAAGATTTCAAAAGTAACTGGGATAAGATGACATATTTGGATATAAAATCAGCCAAAAAATTATAGATATAAAAAACTTCTTAGAAATAAACAGAAAAAGATATATAGAGATTCCTAACATGCAAGCCAATCTGAATGATGTAGCAATGGAGCAATAAGGTGAAAATGCTATAACATAGTCAAAGGAGTATGACATATAGTAGTTGGAAAGAAAGTATACAGGTTGGGGCAAAAATAGGTTTACAGTTGTTCATATGGAATATAATACAATAATAAATAATAATATAAGAATAAACTGTGTTTTGTGTACTTACAACTGTAAACCTACTTTTGCCCTACCCTGTATAATTTCTGCCCCAAACGGTATTAATATATCTTTTTAGGGTTAGATTTTTTACTTTAAAATTTAAGTTCTAGCCCTAGCAGGTTTCGCTCAGTAGATGGAGCATCGGCCAGGACTACCGGTAAAGAAAATGACTAGGTTTGCTTCCCTCTTCAATGAGTAGGGAAATAACTACAAAAAGGGGATCAGTCTTGGGGTGGGGAAGAGAGTAAGTTTATACAGAAAGTAAAACCTAATTTTAAACACATTCTAGCAAGAAACAATCAACTGTTTGAAAATCATGCTTTAACTTTTTGTTATATTCTCAGCTACACAAAATTGTTTATTTAAAAAAAATGTTATACTGCTGTTAATTTGAAATCTGTTAATCATATTGTGGAATTTGGTGATGTTGTTTTTTAAGATGTTTCTAATTGGATTTTTTAATCATGAATGGAATTTGGTCCGTATTTTCTGATAGAACCTAAGCTTTTTGTGGTTCTTAGTGTTCTGTGTAAAACTTAGTGTCAAAGTAATCAACTTTGAGGTTTTCCCTTCTATTCAATTTATATTACAAGCCCTTTATGAAATGAGAACCTGGTGAATATACAATGAATTGTAAAATATTGTACTGTGCAACTTTTTCAACTGTGAAACTATGACTATTGGGTTGTGTGTGTTTTTTCCAACTACTGATAAAGTAAAAAAAAAAAAAAAGGAGGGGCATCTAATGGCAAGTTTTCAAAGGAGCTGGAGTTCCTTAGGGAGGAACAAGTTATTGTGGTCTGGAATCAGAAGTGGGGGGTAAAGAAGACACCTACCTCGACCTCTGGACCCCGTAATATTTGGTATAAACAAAAAAAACACCTGTCCTTGAGCAGAATGTAGGAGAAACACTGGCCTCAGGGATCAGCTGGTTTTTACTTAGAAATGTGAAGAGGGCTTCCGGTGAAAAGGCTGATGTTTGTCTGAAGGCCACAGATGAGTGCTGCACAACTCTAGGTCTAAATGAACGGGCCCCTAGCACTGAGCAAGTCGGAACTACAGGTGGTAACCTTGTGAGTCTCTGTTCAAATCTTCTGTTTTAAAGGTCTTCCTTCATAAAGGGGAGAAGAGAGCTGCCCCGCAGACCCCTCCCCTCTCTCTGTTTTCAAATAGAGACCTCGCTCAGGCAAGTACCTGAGGTTCCACCAGCCAGCAGGAGCCACTCTCCTCACTGCTGCTGGGCCTGAGTCAAGCGGTCTAAGACTTCACTTTATACTCCGCATTTTGTTCCATTTCTGGTCCACAGAGATGTTTATCTTGTTTTTGAGTCAAGATAAATCTTTTTTAAAAATATTTTTCATGTATTATTGATGTCTTTGGAGTCAAAGGTATATCTATTCCTTCCAAGTGAGAACTTAGGACACCAGCTTCACCAGAAGTCTGAGCTCCCAGAGACATTTTAAAAAGCCCAAAATGGCATCCTTGCTGGAAACATTTTAAAGCTAATGGAGTGAAATAAAAGTTTTTCAAGGACATTATATGATAGTTTCTTTACAGCAACATAATACCCATTGAAACTAACTGGCTCTTTATACAGGTTTTGGAACATTCAATGTTTAAAAACCTGATTGTGTAGGTCTCTGCTGTTATTCAAATTATATACAGATTTCTTAAAATTCATATTTGCCTTAAAGCTTTACATGGAGGAATTCTCTTTTTTGTGAATCTGGAACACCAGAACCAAACAGGAATAAAATATCCCAAAACTAAAGATACAGTGATAACTGCCATTAAAATTTCAAATCTATAGCAAATCCCACATCAAAAATATCCTGAGAGAATTTAAAATTGCATCCATTATTCTGTTCAATTCTGGAAAGATTCAGGATTATTCTTTTGATACTTGTATTACCTAATACTTGTACTTAACCACAACATTTATGTCCTCAGATTGACATAAGTCCAAAAACTCTGTTTTTTCGTTTACAAAATACCCACTTAATCATATAATTAGCTATAATTATAGAAATAGCTACCATTTATTTTTGTTTTACATACATTATCACATTTAATTCTCAATAGCACTCTATTATTAACTCTTACCTTTACAGAAGATAAAACTAAGAATCAAATTATGTTGAACTTCTGCAACTATTAAAAATCAAAGCAGTGCCCTATGCTAAATTAAGAGTGGCAGGAAAGAGGTAAACCAGAGACCTGAGAAATGCCTTATCTCTCTTTTTGTACCTCTGCCTTCCAGGCACTTCCTCCTAACAAAGCCATTAATTATCCCTTTTGGAAAAAAGTCTCCTGGAGGCAAGGAGCAGATTAAGAAACTTTCTCTCTCAAGGTTACCAGGTCACATAAAAGCAGAGGAACAGAAATTCAGGAAGGGCAATGTAGCCTGCTGCCAGGTGAAGGTCTAAATTCAAGAATTAATGACTCAACATGATCTCTGGTTTCTGTGTCAACGAAACACAAACCAACCAACAGTCTACTAACTTTCTAATGAAATTATAAAATTCTAGCCCTAGCCGGTTTGGCTCAGTGGATAGAGCATCGGCCTGCAGACTAAAGGGTCTCAGGTTCGTTTCTGACCCAGGGCACATGCCTGGGTTGATCCCCCCCAGTAGGGGGTAGCCAATCAGGGATGTTTCTATCTCTCTCCCTTCTCTGAAATCAATAAAATATATATATAAAGAAATTGTAAAATTCTAAACTAGGCAAACAAAAAGTTGTGAGTAATCAGTCCTTATGGAAATCCGTGATCCCACCTCACAATAAAATCAAGTGGGCTATTTCTAGCTCTGGGTATTTATGCAAAAAAAAACAAAAAACATTCATTTGAAAGGATATATGCATCCTTATGTTAACTTTAGCATTAGTTAGAATCGCCAAGATATAAACACAACCTAGTGTCCATCGGTAGATGAATGGATAAAGATGATGTTTTCTATATACACTGAGTGGCTGGATTATTATGATCTCTGAACACATAATAATCTGGCCACTCAGTGTGTATATGTATATATTAGAGGCCTGGTGCATGAATTTGTGCATGGGTGGGGTCCAGCCAGCCTGGCCAGGGGGAGGGGACATGGGCCGTTGGCCATTCTGCCTGCTGGTCAAACTCCTGGTCGAGGGGACAATTTGCATATTAGCTTTTTATTATATAGGATATACACTGAGTGGTCAGATTATTATGCATTCAGAGATCATATATTCAGAGATCACACACACACACACACACACACACTAGGACTCTCCAATAGAATATTGCCATTTGCAACAACATGGAGAGACCTAGAGAATAATGCTAAGTGAAATACGTCAGACAAAGAAAGATAAATGCTTTATGATTTAGTTATATGTGAAATCTAAAACAAAACAAATAAATAAACAAAATGAAACAAACAGGCCCACATATATAGAGAACAAGCTGATGGTTACTGAAAAGGAGGAAGGAGTGGAGGAAGAAAAAGAATTTGCATTATAATGAGGTTCTATTAGGGTTTTCTGAATATCATTGTGCCGGTTGTTGGAATTATAAATAAGTAAATCAAACAACCAATCAATAAATCCCCAATTTCTTCCATTAGGGGCTGAAAGTTATTAATTAAGTGGACTACTAAAATGAACAGTTCCCAGAAAGAGAATTCTTCCAAGTGGGAGTCTGTCCCATAAAGATAAACTAGAACTGCCAAATTAACTAGGCAACTAACTCTATTGCTAAGAAAAAGGGGTCTCGGGTTCTCAGGATATTACTGGCTGGCTGCATTTTAGCTATGGACCTGGCAATCATGGTTGTTTTCTCTTCTCCCCTTTTCCCATCTGTTTTCACGGAAGCTCTCCTGTTTTCCCCTTGTCACTGTAAACTGGAAATATGGGGAGGGGGGAAAAGAATAATTAAAATTCACTTTTATAGGTTTCTAGACCAGAAATTGGAGCTGAATGAAATGACTGGAAGAATCTGCATTATCTCTTTTTAGGGAGGGAGGGTTTATTTTCCATGGCATATGGAATAGCTGCATTAGTTGAACAGTGAATTTCTGAGTTACACATATATGAATAAGGGTATGTATGTGTGGTTAGGTAACTTGTAAGGTGGCTCTTAATGATCCTCACCTCCTAGTATTCACATCCTCCTGTAAGTCTCTCCACTGTGTGTGGACTGGACCTAGTAGTAGCTTGCTTCTAAGACTATGGCAAAAGTGATGAGTCACTTCTAAGGGGAGAAAATAGATATGGACATGAATGGGGCAGGTTTGATCATGGGTTGATCATGTTGGGCTGGGTGATAAGTACATAGAGATTCATTATACTACTCTGTTTACTTTTGTATGTTTTAAATTCTCCATACTATGAAGTTTAAAATTAAAAAAAAAAAACAAAAGAAAAAAACAAAGAAAAATTAGCATATACCAAATCACAATTACTTTGGTGACCATATTATCCAAATTTTAAAATCTGGGTAATGAGGCTAAAGTATATTTGAATAGATCCGTTCAAGAAATCATAAGATATATGCTTCCAAATAGTTATAGTATTTATAACAATCTGAACTGTGAGTACTGAAGGAGGAAGTTACAGACAGGAGGAAGAGGAGGAAGGTAGAGTTACCCTTTCTTTGGCAGAGGCTTTGCCATTGGCCCATTGTCTTTGACCTCTTCCTCCTCCCTTTTGTCAATTAACTTTAAAGATATTTATGGAATGCTTATTATTTATATGCAAGGCACTGGGCTAGGCCCCATAGGGGAGATAAAGACAAGTGAAATATGGTACTGGGTAAGAGGCTTACAACTGAATAGAGAACCCCTTTCTCTGACATTCTCTACCTATAAATTATTTCCCTTTGCCTCCCATTCCACATCTCAACCTTTCTGTCTTAACCTACAAAGTATTTCACTCCAGAATTACCTGTTTTCTTCCTAATAACCAATAAAGACTTCCTATTATTTTCCCAATTTGGCTTGTCTTAGGTAATTCTTAATAGGAAAAAAATTAATGAGGTTAAACAAACTCATACAACTATATATAAATAAAATAATGCAATCGGGATTCTGACGAGAAGGTTAGGCCTGCCTTTGGGTCAGGTCCAGGAATTAAATCTAACCTGTCATAGCTGTCTCCTCCTTTCCTCAGCTATATCTACACTTCCTCTAAATGCTTCGTTTCACTATCCCTGCCTCAACCCCAGAACCTCAGTAACTATGGGCACTCAGGCTCTATTTCAGTGAAAGGTTCTTACCTTAATGTCATGAAAAGGATCACTAATAATATAGTTAAAATATGTCTAATGTGACTAAATTTTTATAAACTTAATTTAAATATTATTAACAAAGATAATCCCATAATCTGTATAAGTAAACTAATGTGAAGAGAAGCAGGTGAGTCAACCATAGACCATAATCATACCTGCATAGTCCTTCTTTTGGTTAATGTTACTTGAAAATTTTTCCACTCCCAGCGTTGCTCCACCACATGTGCGAAAACAACATGTCCATTTCCGCAGGCTCCAGCAATCTGGGTGCCATCCACTGACCATGCAATATTAAATATGCTGCCAGTGTTGGGCTTTTCCAAAGCATATGACCACTTGGGGAAGAAAAAACAAGAGAAAAATTCATTTATTTTTAAAATTTTTTAAAGTAAGTTTTAAACTGAGGATACGTTAACATATTAAGACAACTTTTTAAAACGTGCCCTGGCTGATGTGTCTCAGTAGTTAGAGTGTTGGTCCACACATAGAACAGTCTTGGGTTCGATTCCTGGTCAAGGGCATGTACCTCAGATGCATATTCAACCCCTGGCCTTGCAGAGGCAACCAATCCATGAGTCTCTCTCACATCGATGTTTTTTTCTCTCTCTGCTTCTTTCCTTCCCTCCCTTCTTCCCTCTCTCCCAACTCTTTAAAAATCAATGGAGGATTAACCAAAATTTAAAAGTATCTTCATTCTAAAATTAGTAAAATATATATTTTTTTAATTTATCAGTATAGGGAACTAAACAAGGCATAATTTTTATTTTTATTTTTTTAATTTTTATTTATTTATTTATTTTTACATATTTTATTGATTTTTTTTTTTGCCCTCCTCCCTCCCTCCCACACATCCCCTCCCTCCCCAGAGTTTTATGTCCATTGGTTGTACTTATATGCATGTATAAAAGTTCTTCGGTTGATCTATTATCTCCCCCAGATCCTCCTCCCCTCCCCGCTGTAATCTGACAATCTGCTTGTTGCTTTACTGTCTCTATATCTATCTTTTGGTTCATCAGTTTATAATGTACTTTATTATCCACAAATGAGTGAAGTCATGTGGTGTTTCTCTTTCATTGATTGGCTTATTTCACTCAGCATGATGTTCTCCAATTCCATCCAGGTTGCTGCAAATGGTGAGAATTCCTTCTTTTTTATGGCAGCATAGTATTCCATTGTGTAGATGTACCATGGTTTTTGGATCCAATCATCTGCTGACGGGCACCTAGGCTGTTTCCAAATTCTGGCTATTGTAGATTGTGCTGCTATGAACATAGGGGTGCATATATCCTTTCTGATTGGTGTTTCTAGTTTCTTGGGATATATTCCTAGGAGTGGGATTACTGGGTCAAATGGGAGTTCCATTTTCAGTTTTTTGAGGAAACTCCACACTGTTCTCCACAGTGGTTGCATCAGTCTGCATTCCCACCAGCAGTGCACGAGGGTTCCTTTTTCTCCGCAACCTCGCCAACACTTGTCGTTTGTTGATTTGTTGATGTTGGCCATTCTGACAGGTGTGAGATGGTACCGCATTGTTGTTTTGATTTGCATCTCTCGGATAATTAGTGACTTTGAGCATGTTTTCATGTGCCTTTTGGCCTTCCTTCTGTCTTCTTTTGAAAATATTCTATTTAGGTCCATTGCCCATTTCTTAATTGGATCATTCATCTTCCATTTAGTTGTATCAGCTGTCTGTAGATATTGGAGATTAAACCTTTATCAGTGGTGTTATTTGCAAATATGTTCTCCCACACTGTGGGCTTTCTTGTTGTTTTGTTGATGGTTTCTTTTGCTGTAAAAAAAACTTTTTATTTTGATGTAGTCCCATTTGTTTATTTTCTCATTAGCTTCCATTGCCCTAGGGGCAGTATCAGTGAAGAAGTTCTTTTGGCATACATTTGAGAAGACATAATTTTTAAAGTATACAGTAGAATATGTATAGAAGATGTACCATGTATGAAATCTTTCAAAAACTGAAAAATACCCACACCATTTCCGATCACATAATTACTTTTAAGTAATAATACTGAATGGATACATACAAAGATTCTGTAGGGGGGGAAAAAGGCATCTTACTGTTAATTCTACAGTTCCTATATCTAAAGATTTCTGATTATAAGAATGTCGTTAAAAATTGAAAGTAAACACACACTATAACTAAAGCATTTTTGATACACGTCTAAAATCATGAAAGTATAGGTAACTGATATCTTATTTTCAGAATACAGTAAGTATAACCTCTTCTAGGACCTATCTATGTGAGAATGTTACCTAGAGATATCAATAAGCATCAGCTGGAACAAAAGAGGTGTATGTGTAAGACAGTAACAAACATTTTTTTGAAAGATGGTATTACAGTCCCCTGGCCGGATTGGCTCAGTTGGTCGAGTGTTATCCTGTGACCTGGAAGGTTGCTGGTTTGATTCAGGTCAGGGTTGTAGTTCGATCCCCAGTAGAGGGCGTGCAGGAGCATCCAATCAATGATACACTCACATTGATGCTTCTCTCTCTCTCTCTCTCCCTCTCTCTAAAAATATTAAAAGATAAAAAATATGTGGAAGAGGACCTTACAGAGATCAAAAGAGATCTAAGACATTTGTCAACCAATCACAATTATTATACATTATTTGCATCTTAATTTCCACAAACTAAAAAACAAAAAACAATTGGAAAATTCTGAACAGTGACTACTGAGAATATTAAGGAATTATTGTTGATTGTTTTTAGGTTTAATAATGGCATGGAGGTTAGATTTTTTAAAAGCCTCTGTGTTCTGTAATGGTGAGTAGAAATACTTAACGATTAAATTCAATAATGTCAGGGATTTGTTCAGAATAATCTGGACCATGGTACAGATGAGATAGGAATCAGCCATTAGTCGACAAGTGTTGGAAGTAATAGGGTAAATGGGAATTCATTACACCACTGTAACCTTCAAATGTAACCAATAAATGTTAGGGGAATTCATTACACACCATTGTAACCTTCAAATGTACCAATAAATGTTATTGTTTAGTATCATGAACTCATTAACTTTAACATATTTGATGTGCTTTAATAAATATAATGCTCCAATTAGCTCAATTTTAGCCAGTGGGATCAGTTGAAGTTGGTTCTTTAGTGTTGTTGTTTTTTAATGGAATCTTGTAGTTTCCATCACTTTCCTTGTTTTCTGCATGACAAAATGTCCCAGATTCATATTTTATATTTCCTGATCCACACCTGGAGTCAGTCTTTACTGCAATGCACCCTAATGTGGAAAATGGTATTGAGAGAAAACCCCTAGGCCTTTAAAAAAAAAAGAAAATACTTACCCAAGGAACCATTATTATTATTATTATTATTATTTTTAAGAGAGTGGAAGAGAGAGAGAGGGAAAGGCAGAGAGAAACATCAACGTAAGAGGAAAAAATTGATTGGTTGCCTCCTGCATGCGCCAGGCCAAAGAGGAGCCTGTAACCGAGGTGTGTGCCCTTCACCAGAATTGAACCTAGGACCCTTCGGTATGCAGGCCAATGCTCTATCCACTGAGCCAAACTGGCTAGGGTGCCCTAGGCCTTTTAATGAACAGAATTAGGAAATTTTTCATGAACTCAAACTGACACTTCCAATTCAAGCCTAGGAACTAGAAAATTTTTATTTATCCTTGCAAATCTTACCTCAGTATCTCCTTTCTCCTAGCCAAAATCCCAGTTCTTTAGAGAACCAATGCAAGTATTCAAAATAACAATATCAACTTTACAAATGATTACAAGTTTTAAATTTTATTTTTTCACTCCTTTGTCCTTAAGCCTATTTCTTTTTTAAAAAAAATAACAACATTAAGATACATTTCACATATTATAAAATCCCCTTTTAAAGTATAGAATTCAGTGGTTTTTATTATAGTCAGAATTGTACAACCATCACCACTATGGAATTTCAGAACATTTTTATCACCACAAAAAGAAACCCATACCCATTAGCAGTTGTCCATTCCCCGGATCCCCCAGCTCATGGCAACCACTAATCTATTTTTATTTTCTATTCTGGTCATTTCATATAAATGCAATAATATACTATGTGGCTTTTGTGACTGGCTTCTTTCACTTTAATGTTTTCAAGGTTTGTCCATGTTGTAGCATGTGACACATCCCTTTGCTTGCCAAGTAATATTGAATTGTATAAATAATACATATATTGTTTGGGTTTTGGGCATTTGGGTTTTTTAGCTTTTTGGCCATTATAAATAATGCTGCTATGCCGAAACCGGTTTGGCTCAGTGGATAGAGGATCAGCCTGCGGACTGAAAGGTCCCAGGTTCAATTCCAGTCAATGGCATGTACCTTGGTTGTGGGCACATCCCCAGTGGAGGGTGTGCAGGAGGCAGCTGATTGATGTTTCTCTCTCATTTATGTTTCTAGTTCTCTATCCCTCTTCCTTCCTCTCTGTAAAAAATCAATAAAATGTATTTTTTAAAAATAATAATACTGCTATGAACATTTGTGTATAGGCTTTTGTGTGGACATACATTTTCATTTCTCTGGGTACACCCCTAGGAGTGGAATTGCTGGGTCTATGGTAACTCTATGTTTGCCATTTGAGGAACTGAAAAGCTTTTTCAAAGTGGCAGCATAATTCTCTCTTGACTCTCTACTACGAGCACAAGGAGCTGACAATCAAGTCAAGTAGTCACCTGAAATAGTTCCTTTCTGGGTGGTTATACAAACAACTAAATACAGTTAGGCTCATTTATTTAATTCATTTTTTGAGATTTAAAAAATGTGCCTCTATCATTATCTTCCCCCTTCAGTCTATCTTTATTAAAATTATACTGATGCTATATTTCCATAGTTTAATTGTATTTTTAGGCCATATATATAATACAATATATATAAAACCCTAATATGCAAATAGACTGAACGGCAGAACAACCGAAGCACTGGTCGCTATGACATGCACTGCCCACTGGGGGCGCGTGTGGAATATGGCGGGTGTCTGCCGTGGTGGGATGGTGGAGCAGGTGAGCGGGGGCGCCAGACCAAGGCGGACACCAGTCACTGTCATTGGGGCACGCCTCTGGTGGTTCTGAAAATTCTTTGCTCCTGCACGCCACGGTTCCGCCCAGCACTCGCACCTGCTACTGGCGCTGCTCCCACTCACTGCCGGCACCCAGAGCTATCAGCAGGTATGAGTGATGGCTGCCGGCCCCGATTGCCCCTGAGGGCTTCTCCACCTCCCCCTGCTCCTGAGGGGAGACCAGGGCAGCAGCTACTGCTCGCACCTGCTGATGGCACCGGCCCTACTTACTCCTGCTGCTGGCGCCAGCCCAAATCGCTCCACGCCTTCAGCAGATGCG